TATATAGTTCTTTGCATATGGACAGATATACCATCTTCTGCATATGACAGATATACAGTTCTTTGCATATGGAATGAATAATACAGTTCTTTGTATATGGACAGAATACAAGTTCTTTATATATAGAACAGTATACAGTTCTTGCATATGGACAGATATACAGTTCTTTGGCATATGTACAGTATACAGTTCATATTGTATATATAGACAGACATATACAGTTCTTGATATGGAACAGAATATCATCATTTGCATATGGACAGAATACATTCTTTGTAATATGGACATGATTAATACAGTTCTTTGTATATGGACAGATATACAGTTCTTTCTTTGTCAGAACTGAAATCACCCCATAGGATGTTTTTTTCTTAAAAAAAAAGAAATTGACTGATTGTTCCTAAATGTCATAAGCTATAGACAGAAGTTCGGACTTTATTTCTTTATTTTCTTTTCTTTCTTTCCTATTCTTATCTCTTTTTTCGGCAGGTCTCAGCGACTCTGTTTCTCTTACGAGCACAGGCCAAGAATCTCTACCTGTCGAGCACTAGAGCTCTCACGGTGCAGATGAAAGGCTGCTGTGTTCTTTCACCACCTAGCGACGACCGCAATGGGTAATACAGATGCGACTGCGCAGCCACGCCCCTCACTAGGCTGATTTTCATAGCACGCCCTCACAGGGTGAATTTTTTCATAGCCACGGCCCCCACTAGGGATGATTTTCATAAACCACGCCACACTAGGGCTGATTTCATCAGCCACAGCCCACCACTACGGGTACTTTCATAAGCCACGCCCATCACTAGGCTAGATTATCATAGCACGCCACCATAGGCTGTTTTCATAGCACGCCAACACTAGGCTGACTTTCATAGCCACGCCCATCACATAGGGCTGGTTTCATAGCCAGCCCACCTAGGGTATTTCCATAGCCACGCCCATCACCTGGGCACTGATTATTCATAACGCCACGCCCTCACTAGGCTGATTTTTGGGGTAAGGGGCTTCTATTGTGCAACCATGGTTAACATACCTCGCTAAGGTGAATTTTATGGGGAGTCTATATTTTCGGGGAAAAACACAGTAGAAGCATTCATAAGCGAACTTAGATTCGTCAATGGCAACCCACACTCTGGTTGTGACCTTCTTGTCACTACTGTTATAAACTCCCAACGTGAGGAATGTGTCCAAGATTTTAATGCAGTAAGCAAACCTGTCTGTGAATAAGACCATTCTCTCCTCCTTAGAAAGCTTTATCATTCATGATCATTTGGCTTTGCTGTTGCATCTCGTTCTGTACACTCTAAACCACTTCAAGATGTAATTCACTATCAAACAAACTGTATATCTGTCCATATACAAAGAACTGTATATCTGTCCATATGCAAAGAACTATATATCTGTCCATATACAAAGAATTATTGTATATCTGTCCATATGCAAAGAATTGTATATCTGTCCATATACAAAGAATTGTATATCTGTCCATATGCAAAGAATTGTATATCTGTCCATATGCAAAGAACTGTATATCTGTCCATATGCAAAGAATTGTATATCTGTCCATATACAAAGAAATATATATCTGTTCCTATGCAAAGAATTGTATATGTCCATATAAAAAAAAAAAAGGTAAGAAAACTGAATAATGGTCACAAGAATTCTAAGCCACAAACATTCAGTTAAAAGGAAGTGCAAGTGACTTAGAACAGGAAGGCCGTGGCTTCCCCTGGGAAGCGTGTGGCTTTCTTCCAGCAAGCCAGCATTCTGACACCCACCTTAACGACTTCCACCTGTCTTTCTCTATGTGGTTCTCAGGTCCTTCACTTTCATAAGAGGCCAGGTAGAGAGCTGCAATCGACCAAAGGAAAGTGCATGAACATCAAAGCCCTCTTAATGCATCATCGACGCCACCCATTGCAAACCCGACAGCAAAACACACCATTGATTGATCGACTGATTGAGAGACAGAGTCTCGCTCTGTCGCCTGGGCTAGAGTGAGTGCCGTGGCGTCAGCCTCGCTCACAGCAACCTCCAACTCATGGGCTCAAGGATCCTCCTGCCTCAGCCTCCTCCCCAGCATGGGACTACAGGCATGCGCACCCACGCCCGGCTCATTTTTTTTTTAAACTATATGTTTTCGTTGTCCAATTAATTTTCTTTCTATTTTTTTTAGAGACGGGGCTCGGTCTTGCTCAGGCTGGTCTCGAACACCTGGCCTCAAGCGATCCTCCTGCCTCAGCCTCCCGAGTAGCTGGGACTGACTACAGGCAGGCACCACCATGCCGGCTAATTTTTTTTTTTCTTTCTATGTTGGCCATTTCTTTCTTTCTATTTATAGTAGAGACCGGGTCTCGCTCTTGCTCAGGCTGGTTTCGAACTCCTGACCTCAGCGATCCTCCCGCCTCGCCTCCCAGAGTGCTGGGATGACAGGCGTGAGCCACCGCGCCCGGCCAAAACACCCTTTTAAAATAGCAAATCACGACCAAGAAGCTTCATGAGAAACACACAACATCGCTTCCCTTGACTGACCATCCAACGAAAACCGCTCAGCCTCTAGGCCGTAAAAAGCCATTTCATGACTAAGAATTTAGGAGGCCAAAAAGCTCACAAAATGCCAGCCAATGCTGTGGTCACAGCTCAGGATTTATGGTCCTTAACAAAGAAAGATTGGGGGATGGGGTCCTCCTGGTAGCCTTGGTTTTAAAAAACACTTAGTAGTAGGAATTTATTTATTATTTTTCCTTTGGGAGGAAGGAAACAAAAAAAAAAAAACTTAGTAGTAATTTCAATCAGAAAGACTCTTCATCCCAAAATTTAAATGTTTGTTATTTTAATCCATTTATGGAGATTAAAAACAGCAAGCCCCCTTTCTGGACAGGAATATTAATTCAATTTTCTTCAGTTTCATTTATTGAAATTGTATTCCACTCTACTATTGAAGAATTTGCTAGAACCACTAAGCTTATTATTACTAGGGTATGTAACAAATCGTAAATAAAATCCCAAATCTTTTATGAACTCTGGACTCTCTTTTCCGTGATTTTTTTCCTGATGCTTAACTCAATCACGTTTTCTATCTTCGATTCTCTAGTTTTAAACATTCAGACTTTCTATCTTTCTCTTTTTTTTT